TATATATATATATATATATATTACGTAATATTTACATCCTCACTAAATTACAACAATATCATTAAATATATTAATGACAGAGCGACATGCGTTCATATATAATAAACCAATTATCCTTTCTTCGTAACAATAATCTATAAAAAAAAATATGCTCGCTTGGATTCACATTATCATCGATATAGTTGAATATAGTTGAAATATAGTTCGGACAAATTCGTAGCCGCTATATATTTTCAGTTTTAGTTTTAGATGCTTGCTGAAGGTAATGACAATTGAGAATGCAAAGGCCAACCCACTATGAAGTGAAATCGACCAAGTACTTAAGACCCGTATCTCCAGTGAAGCGAGAAGCGTTTCATAAAACCACACTTTTTTATGTGTTCGTTGTTGCGTCTCTGTAGATAATATTTTTTAGAGCAGGAGATTGAACAAACGAGTGGTCCACCACGTCTGTCGAGGCATTCGATTATTGAATCCTGGATCCTACTACAACGCTACAAATAACTATGCATTACATGATGATATTTGCTACTTTTTGATAGATATAATGTTGAAGGCTAACTTTTAAAATGGATCCTATGATTTCTTCACGGCCATGACGGGTGCCGCGGGCCGTCACGGCCGTGAAGGACTTGACACACAAGCATAATTTGTGCCAGTGATTTCCTGACTTCAGCTATATAAAGCATAACAAGACATTCATAGCACATCCCCCCCACACACACGTGTGTGTAATCAAACATTAATTTATTTTGAGTATTTAAATGTTAAGATGTGTTGATTATTTGCAAACCAACCATATTTTTATTTATTAATTTCCACAATGATATTTGTTCTTAAATACTATATTTGAACATGTAATGCTGCGGGGAATAGAATCCCCATCTCGACCGTGGTTTTCGTCGATACTGCCAGAGAATTCTGAGATGGTCCTGAGTAAATGTGGTTTCATTTCTCCCCAAGTGCTTTTTTTTCTTTCGCAAGCTCATTAGCAGAGTGTCGGGAAATTCAGTTTATTTTTATTAAAAACACTACTCTTTGTACAATAAATATTTCTACAAACCGAAAATTACCGGACACTGACAAGCAGTTCCATGCGCCTATTACAAGTTTCCATATACGGACTTACTAAAATTTTGAAAATGTCAGCTTTATGCATGTGTAACTGTTTATCCAGGAATTCCGTGCGTGTACAGGAAGAATCGCACGATCGACATTTTGTTAATGGTTGCTTGCATAACAAATGAAGAAATGACAATATAATAGAAATTAAAGTTGAATTCAACATTTTATGTAATCACTGAATTTCTCGTCAGATTAATGCTCTGAGAAGCCAGATAAACGATCCAAAGCTATATTTCACTTCACTGTAAAATAAAATTAAACGAAGTTTAAGGAACTATCTTATGTTATTCTTTCGTATTTTTTTTCTACAAATGGTCCACAATTGATATTTGAACGAGACTCTCATCAAAATACATTTGCAACGAGGAAGTTAATCCTAACATTTGAAATGCATTAAAAAGCGAGATTATGGAAAAATGGATATATCTGCTTCATCGGAATGAAGTTTTTCTTAATAGTTGGTAATTCTCATACAATTTCGAAAGAGTTTATCACAAAAAATAGAGAAGATATCATTTCTGTCTTTTAACAATTAATTGCATGAATGTCTGCATCCGGAGATTGAAGGCTTCGTATTGGTACTGCCCGTGAGCGAAACCTTCTCGGAAGACACACGAGCATGGTTCAAATGCCAGACTCATCAAAGAGGTAATTATAACGTCGATGACTTAATTAGGTGGCGAATCTAGTGTATGCTGGACAACCCTGGACGGAGTGTGCGTGGCCTTGGCTCACCGCGCTTTCCCTGAACATTCCTTGAACGTTCTGCCGTAACGGCGACAATCTCCGGTGGCCGGAGCCGCGGCTGCCACAAACCGCGCAGACGCCGGCCGGGACACACGCTCCACACACGACACCGCGATGGCAGAGCTCGCTGACCGTTACGTGACTTTCTACAATGGACAGAAGATGCCAATAATAGGACTCGGAACTTGGCAGGTTAGTACGGGATTCTTTGTATCAACGTATTCCATCTTCGGCAAAATTCTTTTATATTCGTCCTTTTTCTGAGATTTCTACATTCATATACACAGAACACGAGGCAGATGCAATTTTTAAATACAAACTATTTCGTCGATGGATGGTACAAAAAAAGAGAGAGAGAGAGAAAGGATCGACAATGATCCTTCAGTTTCTGAAATTGACTCCTTTCCTGTTTCATACTCTTTGATAATTTTCACGAAATATACTATCGTGAGATTTCCACACATCTGATATACTGAACACGAGACAGATGACATTTTACGTATAACCAATTTTGTAGATGGATTGTACAAAAAAGAAAGGATGTACGACGATCCTTCCGTTTCTGAGATTGGCTCTTTTTCCTGTTTCATATCCTTTGATAATATCCTCGAATTAATAGTTTTAATTACCATGCTGCTTGCTCAAAATTTTCAATCAGCTTTTACTGCAATATATAAATTTTAAAATACCAAAACATTAAATCGCGTGAAATACTGCCGTAATTGAATCAATAAATAAATGGTTTAAAGTAACAAATTACGAGTCATATTTGTTATATTATGTCTGACAATGCTTGTATATTTACTTTGATTATCATGATCTTTTCATATGTTCAAAACGTAAAAATGGTTCCCATACATTTAAGAATGTGTAGGATAACTGTACGGGAAGTTCAATTTTAATTCCAACACTGAAGACATGGTTCAAACACGGAGGTTTTTCTTCTCGAAAACGCGAGAATTAATGTTTTGTAGAAATCAATGAATAAGGTTAGTGTCACTATTTCGAAGAACTTTTGTGACATCCCCACAAGTGAAAACTACAGCATTAGATAATTGCGCTACATTCAATTGGAGATTTTTAATTTTTATCCAGAATCTTACTATTTTTTCAACGTTCGAGTATTATTTTCCTAGAATAATAAAGGGTTAAATACGTATAAAAAACAACTTTATAGTAGAATAGTACGATTGGAAGTAATAAATTACTTATAATATTTTACGAGAAAAAGTATAGATCGAGCCACTTGACGTTTTACCACTTAAACAAATTTAATATAATTACAGTTCTTATTAAACTCTTCACTATTTAACTCTTCAGCGTGTCACGCCTCTCTTTATTTAGGGCTTTATTTTAGACGTTGGTTACAGTGAGTTGTGCATTAGCTTAAGTATTTAGTTAAATATTTGCGCAGAGGGTTTGATGGTAAATGTAGTAAAATATTTTTTTTAAATAATTAGGTGAGACCGGGACTAAGAGGTCACCAAGGATACGAAATCACATCCCCATGTTTACAGAATATCTAATGTTGGAAAGGGAGAGGAATACTATCACCTCCCGGGATGTATGCACTATATTTACGGGCCTGATGTCTATATCAGTTGACGAGTCCCCAAAGACAAAATAATCCATCAATCATTCAATCCACAACTATTAAGGAAACGCCTCTGATATGCAATTTAAACATAAGATTTCTATGTCGTCAACGGAGACCGATAATATCACGTCGAAATTTATAATATTTATAAACGAAAATATGATTCCGAACGAAGTGTGAAAACGAAAAATTAGACTTTACTAAATATCTTGCTATGAGTTTTATTCACGTAATAAATATGACCAGCGTAAAAGTTTCTCCAAACGCTAGTGGGATTTGCGACTTACTTCCCTAAATTCTTGACTTTTTATGAACGGTCGTTCTGTTGGGGCAATTTCGTCACCTGACGATCTCCCTGAAGTTTGTCGTTTAATTTCTGCAACTGTCTGGCAGAAGGCCTATGTTCTCGGGCTGTTTCCCGCTTCGTTACAGGAGGCGTCGCGGAGTGCCGAGTTGGACTGTACTAACAGCAGCCAGCTTAAGCTAGCGTTGTTATAACATAACACAGACTTTCTCGTATTGCATACCTCGTATTACATTTCTCGTATTACATACTTCGTATTACATACTTCGTATTACATACTTCGTATTACATACCTCGTATTACCAGTGGCGCAACCACGATTTTTACTTCCTGGTCGCGGGGGGGGGGGTATAGGTGTAGTGTCTGTCCAACATTACATTTTCTTATATAGAATTCGTCTTTATGCTGAATTTAATATTAGTTATATTTACTGATTTATAGCTGTTCATAATGTACACAATTCATATATTTAATTACGTCTGTTCCTAAAGAAAATTAGTTAAAACTATATATGTAAGTATGTGTCATCGGCTCCTGGAAGGGAGCAGAAACCCCCCTCCCGTTTGGGTGCCCCATTACACGTCTTCGTGAACAGGGGGTGCCAAACATTATACATATGAACATCCTATATGCGATAAATAACTGCAACAATTATACTGTGTAACACGTTTTCAAAAACGTTCTGTTTCTGGTTTGACATTTTTGATTTATGTTTAATTGAGCAGCAAGTATGTAGAAAATATCCCTGAAAGTTCGCTTTTGTGGCCGTCACAATGGTATTTACATTACTTCCAGTTTATGCATTTTTCTATTCTTTAAGTACCATTTTTTCTAATCTAACAAAAGTTTTATTTGAATATAAATTACTGGCAGTTTCAAAAGTGTGATACTAACAATACTAAAGCACACTACCATAAACGATATTGGCCTATACGTACAGAGTTCACAGTGGGGAATCACAATATTAAATGGATGGCACATGTAGATCCTCAAAAGGTATTAATGACACCTTTGCACATAAAAATGGGACTGGCAAAGCAATTTGCGGCAGCGTTGGACAATAAATCTGCAGAGTTCAAGCATTTACAACATATGTTCCCAAAGCTTTTCGAATCGAGAGTTACACCTAGCGTTTTTGTTGGACCTTAAATCAAGAAAGATATTGAGTGTCAAGAGTTTCCCAAGCTTCTCAGAGTAAAGGAGAATGAAGCATGGATCAGTTTTGTTAAAGACGCTGAAGGCTTCCTTGGAAATCATAAAGCTGAGAACTATGTTGAAATCGTTAAAACTCTGATTAACAAGTACAGCAAAATAAGCTACAGGATGTCTCTCAAAATACATTTCCTTCATGCCCACTTTAATAGTTTCAAAGAACATGGGTGCGTATCAGGGGCGGATCCATCGATCATTGGGGGGGGGGGGGGATCATAGACTTTTGTTAAATAATAAACATATTTGCTATTATATTGTATATTGTTTTTATAGCGTATATACGGTACAATACGATATTGTTGAAATAATTACATACTTCTAACACAAATACGATTTAAATCAATTTTGCCAAATGAAGGAAGGTAATAAACGAAAACTAGACCTTGGGGGGGGGGTCATGGCCTCCATGCCTCCCCCCTAGATCTGCCACTGGTACCTATTCCGTAGAGCAAGGAGAGCGCTTTCATAAGGACCTGCAACATTTTGACGCTACAGAGGAAACAACAATGACCACGTGATGGGGGTCTATATATATGAGGACTTATTCGTGAAAGTGATAAGACGTACACTCGCAATCCTGCACATTTATATGTCCTTTGTCAATTTCTACAATTTTAGTTAGAATATATTATTGATTTGAAATATACTGTTCCATTTTTTAAAGATAAATCCGAAAATTCGTACTTTTTCTTAACAACAGTACGTAAATTTCAACTTTTCGTTCTCTGCATCACCAAAGCAAAGATTTTTGCAGGAAAAATATTATTTTTTCGAATTTTTATGATAGGTACAATTAGAAAATTATATTGATTACCCAGAAACAAAAACTGTTTTACATGGTGTTATCTTTTGCACCCTGCTTTCCCGTCTTCTCTTTTTCATGTTACATTACAAATGAACGGGAAAAAAGTTTGCCAGACGTAGCGCTTGAATTGCCTACTTTCGGATTAATAGACAAGGATTTCACCACCACCGCTAATGACACTGTGACGATAACATTAAGGCAGGACCGGATTAAGCAAGGAGCGGCCGCCCCGGGCTCGTGCGGTCAGGGGCTTCCGCAAAATCCATCAACATGCAAAAGAAATCATAAAAAGACCCGAGACAGAAAAGGTAAAGAAAGGCAGGAGAAAATAGTGGAAAAGGCGATAAAATGCCGCATATCCTCTGTCGTTCTTGTATGGGTGAAAGGCCACACACGAGATTATATATACACCACATTATATATACAATTTTCTCGAAAAGTATAAGTCGCATCAAAAGTGTTTCTTCACAGATAGTATTGTGTACCTTCACTTTCTGAGAAGAAAATCAAATTTAGATTTGTTCCGTCCCTCAGTAACAATCAAGATTAAATAATGAAGCAGTATTGTAAGTGCCCTCAAATAAGACTGCTGCGGAGCTCCCACAAGAGTTAATCTGGCTCTTCGTAAAGGAGTCCTCTTATGAACACAAGGAGGATTTAATTATAAAGATTAATACATTATAAAATACATCAGTATTTGAATCAATATCTGAATATATGGCAAATTTCTGTTGGAATTCGATGCTCTCATTTGTTTTGTAAGAATCGCTTGTAAATATTGAAAGCACACTATACGTAGTTATTACAAGAACCAAAAAAAAAAATGCCTTACAATGAGCCATGTACTTGAAACGTTAACCCAATCGCACCCAGGAGTCATCTATCTCATAGATATGTGATTTAATGATAAGTGTTCATTTTAAAGATCGTAGAATAGCCAATTTTAAAGATCGCCAGCCAATGATCTTAAATGTCCTGGGCTTGCTGCACACGATCCTCCTCCTCTTTTCTCCGTAGGTTTCTGTTGGTCTGATGATGTACTGTCATGGAGACGTTGTAGGCCCATGTAAACCTCAATTTCCTAAAATTAAATTACGAGACACGTTTTACACTTTGATATTTTAGTTTTTCAATAAAAACTAAAATATCAATGTGTAAAACGTTTTTCAATAAAAACTAAAATATCAATATGTGAAACGTGTCTCGTAATTTAATTTTAGGAAATTGAGGTTTACATGGACCTACAACGTCTCCATGATATATCGTTGTTCACAGACGGACGGACAGACGATTTGCCGTCTTTCGATTTTTCGGTATGAAGAACCCATAAAACATGGATTCTGACTACACCACGTGTTGAAGGACCTTTGTCTCAATGTAGTAACTGGATTTATCCACTTTTTCGTTACCAGGGCCTTGTAATAAGAGTTTTTCTGTCGAAAACTCGCCGTTTTTCGTGCAGCAGTACATAACTTTCTCTCTTCTGAGTATGGGGTAGCGAGAATGTAAAAATCAGCTCTTTATAATTTTTTGAAGAAAATAGCATTTTTCGTGTAATTTCTACTTGAAATTAATGTAATTTGTAAAAAAGAGTATTTTCTCAAAAACAGCTCCCAATTTTTTCTTTAAATTTTTTCCACGGAAGTAGCAAAGGACGATAAAAATATGCAGGGTCGCACAGAGAAAATAGGGGCTGGGGCAATTGATCCACGGGAACCCCTCATTTCAAACAAAACATTACACATTCATTTCTCCATGCATCAGAAAAATCTTAGAGCGTTAAATTTCCATTAGGGATGAACATATTTTTCATTTCTTTTTAATGAAAAAAAATCCGACTCCTGAATTAGGCTAAGTCGGGTCCTGGAGCAAGTTGCTCCCTTCCTGCCATCCCCTTCAGGTCGACCCTGAAAATATGACACAATTTTGAAAATTGCTTAAGTTAAAAATAATGTGAGAGTCTTTAGCATCCTCGAGCGATTGCGTGATGTAGTAGTGATGTGCTTGGTCTGTTGTTTCAAAGAAGCCGAGTTCGAATCTCGGCGCGGAGAAAAAAATTATGGAAACACTTTTTCGGGTTCATGTAGTAGTGTAATATTGCGTAGCCGTTACAAATTCGAGAAAGTATATGCTGATCGAGCACCACTAGTTTCTTCTGAAATTAATCACTCTACTTGTTCTGGTTTGCGATATAACGACGGTACGTATTAAACAATTACATTAAAATAATTGATTACGCACCTTTCAATTCTGCTTCACATTATGTTCGTTCAACTCGCTGATACATATTTTGTATGCATTCTCCATACCCCTTCTTAGTCTTCCGACCTCCGGTTTGTTCACAGTTTATGACTGCTTTGTTTAATTTTTCATGAACTTCTTCAATAATCAATATGCTTATGGAATATTAGTATAATAATTACCATCACGGTGTGATATCTCTCTATGTAGAAGAGTTACGGGGGCCGGAAACTTCAAAATAAATATAAATAGAAAAATAATCAACTGGGCCTCGGAGAGATAAATGTGATGCATGGTCAGTAATAATAATAATAATAATAATAATAATAATAATAATAATAATAATAATAATAATAATTCATAATTTAATTAATAATGTTCGAACGATTTGAGGACAGACTTTTTCTTTTCAGTTCATATACCACTTGGAACATATGGTTACATTTTTTTTACATTTTTTTGATGAGATTTTCAGTGGTCATTGAAGACCGCCGTTTCTGTATTGTCGCCAAACATTCCCACTTGCGTTAAAAAAGAGTTGCAATGCATGGATTCAGAACGTTGAAAGACATCAGGATTCTGTGAATCAAACACTTCCCGTTAAAAACTTGAAGAGTGAATCGAAGAGGAGTGAAAATAAGGACAAGAATCAATAAGTGACAAGACAACGTATGCAACTAACTTTGAAAACTTGTCCACTTCCGTATTGTATTAACAAATTTTGTGGTGTTTCAAAACTGAGCAATATATCATACCCTTGAACAAATGTTTTACCCCCTGAAAAATGTTTTATATGTAATTCGCATATTTTATCCAAACTTGCGTAACACAATACATTTATTCGAACATTCTTACTGGTATATACCCCATAAATACATATACTTTACATTTGACTGCTTTTCAATGTTATAATGAAAAAAATACAAGGTATTAGAATATAATTAGATTGATCACACTGGTTATATATTTGTATTATTCTGAAATAAATAATTGAAATTACTGTTTTCAGGCAACCGACGAAGAAATAGAAACAGCAATTGATGCTGCCCTTGAGGCTGGTTACAGACACATCGACACTGCGTATGTTTATATGAACGAACCTGCCTTGGGAAGAGCACTGAAAAAATGGTTTGATTCCGGAAAATTGAAAAGAGAAGACTTATTCATCGTCACAAAGGTAACATATTAACTCGAAATAAACGTACAAATTCCTTTTCTTTAAATATTTCTCTAATTTATTAAATATTAATGAAAGCGCATTTTATACAATGACTCATTACAGACAAAATTGCGAGCTGTACCTTGCAAATATTAGTGACGTATCAGGGAAGCTCCCTAGAGAGATTCTCAGCAAAACAATCTTCTGTGTTCTATTGAAACACATGAGGTAAATGCTGAAGTCAATTTCGAGTTACTACTCCTCATGTTCTCGTGACACATCTATGGATGTAAACAACGTTTTAATATACGATTTTAATTCACGTTTTTGAAAAACCAGAATAATTCTTTGAGAAAATGTTTTAGACATTTCTTGTTTTGAATATAGCAGTATTAAGGAGCAGTGACAGCTGGTGCCCCAACAGACTGGAGGTTGCACCTCCATCGAATGACAAAAATGTAATTTCCAAAATTCCAAGAGTAAATTTTAAAACAGTAAATCTAATATCAAATGAAAACAAATTCTCTAAACATAATAAATAATGTATTAAATTAATAAGTAATGCAATAATTGAACTTTGGTACTTTCAATAGCAAGTGAAATTCATAAAACTACGTTACAGCGAGTTAGACAAAGATAGAATTTTAGTATTTTCCTGACACTCCCTCCGTCGCCGTGCAGCGCTGGACGGCGCTACTCGTTTGGTTGTCCAACCAAACGACCCTATATTGCTCGTGTTAAACCGAAGGGTCAAAGAGTAAGTGCTGTAAATCCAGTAATACAGCCACGATCCAAGAGCGTGTTGCAATACCTGGCAAAGCACCAGGCACCGGAGAGGGGGCCGTTCGACACTTTTTGATTTCAGAACGATTTCGTATACATCGATCTTGCTGCAATATCTTGAATATTGAATGTCATTACAAGGAAAATGTATATTCCTAAGATATTAAGAGGTCTTTTTCGATTATATCTGGGTGTTGCGCAACCGTGCAACCTAGGCACGAATCGCCACTATTAAGAAGATATATTATATCCTAATTCTTGGTCGAAGGATTACGTTTCCAATAAATAGACGCTTATATTGTCTTGGCGCTTATATTGTCTTGATGACTTTTAATACTTACGTAGCTTTTAAATTGCCATTGAAATCTCTTGAATGCCAACTCGTCTCTCCGGATGACTATTTCACATTTTCCGAGGCCGAGAATTCAGTTTATAAAATTTTAATTGTTACTAAAAGTTTACAATTTCAAAGACGTCGTGGCATCTCGCATGTAAAATTTAATTTTAAAACAGAATTCCATAGCATATTTTGTACGCAGTCATTTCACCTATTGGACTCAGTCTTCGATGTCACAGGAGCTCTGAAAATAGGTATCGCCATTTTCGGTTTCTTCGAATTTAGATTAAATTGAGCTCTACAATCATACATTGATAATCTAAATAAATACCTTATATAAAATTTAAACAAACTAGTAGTGCTACAGAAGCAAAATTTCTCGTGTTATTTATTAGCTGCAACGTAATATTATACGATAACTCAGTCCGTGCGGGAAGTTCGCACATTTGAACTTTATTGCACGTTTTAACGGCCAATGAATTACTTAACTCGGGGATTGCCTTATTGGCTCAACACATGTCTGCGTGTATTTTCAACCCGCAAAAATATTTGCCCCCAAAAATATTATCTATGACGTTACTGCAAGAATTCGTTTTAGCAGCTTCCACGCATAAGCAATATGTATCTTTAATTTTTGATAACCCAAATTTTTTTAAATAAAAATAGCACGTGTGCCATAGAATTCAGTATACTGCCCTCTATTCTTCCAAAAAGTTTAAAGAGAAAATTGGAGCCGTTTCCAAAAACATCTCATTTGCTTATTTAAGGAAAATCATCATGATTTGGTTAAAAATAACGCAAAAAACTCCTAATAATGCCACGGGATCTCCGCCCTTTGAAAATCCAAGTTTCCTCAGCCGGGCTCGAACCCGGGGTTGAAAGGCCAGTGATCTTCATGTCTTACCCACCGAAGGGCGCCTTTCAGTTCAAACTGACATTAATGTGTGTACTGGATTTGTGCTTCTCGTGGTTGTATGGATGGAAGGAAGAATGGAATGACTAAACGAATACAAAAGGCATTTTTGAAGAAGGTAGTACTTTGAGCATGCCAACTATTTTAGGGATGTGTTGGAGTTTCTGTCGATCTGTATGCGACGTTTTGTTTAAAGGTTAACCAGAAATAATATAAAATGCTTTATTTTAAGTAATATAATTGTTTTGCAGTTACCCAACTTCGGCAACCGCCCTGAATCTGTGGAGAAGTACATAAAGAGGTCTCTTGATAATCTGCAGTTAACTTACCTTGATCTCTATCTTGTGCACCATCCTGTTGGGCTGCAAGAAAAAGAAGGAGAAATGCTTCCGAAGGATGATTCAGGAAACTTACTTGTTGATAAGTCCACTGATATAATAAGCGTCTGGAAAGTGAGTACATACAACAATTAAACTATATAGTCGTAACAATGGTTTGGTAACGTGAATAATTTTCTCTAAAAATGACACACGGAAGAGAAGATTATGAAGCGTTCAAATGTATATCTTAATTCGAACAGCATTATGAGATAATAAATTTAAAAAAAATACAATTGTCTTTATAACTTTGCATTTTTGTAGGCAATGGAAGAACAAGTACATGCTGGTAGAGCTCGGGCTATCGGCCTTTCTAATTTTAATGTAAGGCAGATATCACGTATTGTTGAATCTTGTTGCATTCGTCCAGCGAATGTTCAAGTAGAACTACACATATACTGCCAACAGAAAAATCTTGTGTCATTTTGTGAAGGTTTGGGAATTACTGTCTGTGCGTATGCCCCCTTGGGATCTCCTAATTTGGCATCGTTCGTGAAAATGATTGGAGATAATCCTGAACTGTATGTACAATTTTCGCATTGAATATGTGAATTAGTTGCTTAGTATTGGAAAATTTATAAAATTGAAAATATAACATTTCAATGAAAATACTGATAATGGCTTTTTTGAAATTTTTAGGATCCCAACATTTAGTCCCCTGACTGAACCAATCGTAATAGAAATAGCAAAACAGCACAATAAAGCACCTGCGCAAGTCCTTTTGCGGCATATAATTCAAAGACGTATAGTTGTCATTCCTAAAAGTACTAATCCCACAAGAATACAGGACAATTTCAAAGTAAGTATTAAAATTTATATTTATTAGCTTAGCATATAAATAAATTACTAAAAAAACGATAGTCTTTTTGATATATTTCACTTAAAATATTTCGTGTCCCCAAAATAAGACAGATAAATTTCGTGCTCAAATCGAAGATTATTTGCTTCCTAAAAATATCGACAGTGGCGCATAAGAATGCTCCTGATGCATTAAAAGAAACTGGAGGCAAACAGCAGATGATCCCACTGATAAGTAGTATGGAAGGAAGACCACTGGCTTCATTGCAATTTCTCGCTCTTCGATCACTAGTCGTTATGGCTGTTGTTCAAGGCTATTTCCCTCGGGAAGGATTTATGTAAACACGATAAAAGTCAATTTAGAGGACATTTTTTCCAAGTCGTAACTCATTAAGAGTAATGTATCATAAACTATGCAAATTACGCGGAATTGGCTAGCGAAAGATATATGTGTGTATTCTCACATACGCATCTTGATAATTTTAACAGCCCACAAACAAAATCGTAGTAATTAATGTCAAAGAAAAATGGTGGTGCTACAACAGCACTTACTTTCTTACGATATTGTTAATGGCTATGCAATATTATAAGACAATTTCGGTTTCACTTCCATTTGAAAAATTCTTAAACAAACCAAGCGTAAAAACTACATATACTTTTTAAAATTCAAATGCTTAAACGAAAACAGATTTCTGCCATTGAATTCAGTGTATTCACGTTCTACATAAATGTACCAAAGATGCACGATGCGCATTTTAGCCGTAAATTAAATTATTAGTTTCTATTAATGTGAAAGAAAGGCGGCCGTCATTATAGCCTTCTGTCATCAGTTTAACGTTACAACAATGGGTTGCACCTAGCAACAATCCGCTAATTCATACTGGTTACACATTTTGCCAATTAGCATTGTTGATACCCCTAGCAACAAAAATTAAAATGTAAAGGAAAATGTAATAATAAAACAATATTTTTATATTCATCAAAACTACTAGGTTTTTACATGCATTACTCTTTCATTTCCAATCTTATTAAGCAAAGCGAAATCATGTATTTGTTTTACTTTTAACTAATTAAAGGACCCAATTTTAAATAGCTTTTAAATAATTTCTAAAATATTAATTTTAAAACGTATACCAAAAGCTCAAGTATAAGAAACGAACAAAGAAATATGAAATAATATACAAATTTTAACGTACGTAACAAAATTCAACTGTCTGGAATTACCTTTATTACGTTCACGAAGCTGAGGATTTTCGGAGCGGGCGACTATGTTCGACGCCAAATTACTCAAAAAAACTCATATTTTCGAAAAATACAACATGAACTTTTTTAAGATCTGCTTTTGATGAACACATTTCATTAAAAAATATATCATTACCAATGTAGTTGAAGGAAGACGCCAAATTTTTATTATTATTATTATTATTATTATTATTATTATTATTATTATTATTATTATTATTATTATTGAGTCACATGTACAATTAAAATCGTGTGTGACAAGTCAATATGATGTCTTGGGCGAAGTTACATTACTGTCCAGAAGCGAAACTAAGGGCCATCTCAACATTTGCTCAAGGGGCCAGGGAAACTGAACAAAAAAAACTGATCGAGATGGGGTCATTGGCCTAGGAATTATACTACAATACTTGTTACAGATTAAATATTATACAGTAGATCATTATTTTTAGTAGCAAATAATTTAACATTTCAAGATTTGCTCAGTTTCACGTTTAAAGTAAAAGTAAAATTTACTTGTTATTGTCATTTTACTGCTACTTCTTATAATAATAATAATAAAAATAATAATATTGTTAAAAAAGTACATGATATCAATTATGGTAGCAACTAGATATACTTTAACAATATTAGTACATTCTATGTTTAAATCTTGAAATGGAGAGGAGGCGGCAGGTTTTGACTATTTTTTTCTATTTCTACACCTAGTCCTACTAATCTACAGTACCTAATGTATTTAGCAAATCAGGGGTGAAATAAACAGAAATTTTGTATCTTCTTATCAAAATCGTTGGAGCCATTTTTTTGAAAATTTTTAAAATGTCCCAGGGGCTTCATGTAAAGAACTCCCCAAAATTAAAATATCGGTTTCAAATTCAAGGGGCCGTGACATCAGCCACATCGATTGGGGAATATGAATTTTGGAGAAAATCGGCTAAACGGTTTAGCCGCTAGCGTTGTTCAGAGACGTTTCGCCGTCAATCGATTTTTCGGTATCACGGACCCACAAAACATGGGTTCTGGCTACACCACGAGTTAGAGGATGTTTTTCTTCTAAATGTAACATCTGCATTTATCCCCTTTTTCGTTCGAGGGCCGTGCAGAAGTGTTTTTCTGCCGAAAATTTGCCGTTTTTCGCGCAGCATTACGTAACTTTTTCTCTACCGCGTAAGGGGTAGCGAAAAAGTAAAATGAGTAGTTAATATAAATTAAATGTTTTCACATTAAATGTATTTTTAACTCATAAATTTGAAAGTATCGGACACGCTCATCCAGAGATGTAATTGTTAAATTACATTATTATCTGTAATGTTCAGTTAGGTTGCTTTACTATGTACCAAGCACTGGACCGTAGATCCGTTGTGCATTCTATAAATCGGTTGCGCAATCACTTGCAATAAACTCGAATTGAGATGTTAGAGTTTTGTTCCTCAAGCCGTTATCTATAAAATGAGATTTTTTGAGACTATTCCATTTCTGGAGTTCAGCTCTTATCGGTAACGCACACCGTGGGAAATGTGGGGGCAACCAGTATCTATTAAAACAGGTTTCGCGAACATTTTCCCATCATACAGAAAAGGGTGGTGGGTCATGTTTCCACAAGCAAAAGTTCTCGCACGGACGCACTAGTTTCCATAAAATCCTATGATAAAGTATATTACAACTCTCTGATATAGAAATATCTTCTTGCAAATTAAAAAAAACAGCATCAACTGGAGGTTTCACTGACTGAGTAACACTTCTGTGTATTAACAGACGAACGTGCGGAGGCAGCAGCAGAATCTAGCAGCACAATATTTCGGCGGGCGGTAAATTAGCGTTGTCCGAAAATACTCTCTACGCAGATAGAATATTTGCAATTTTTCGTATAAATGTTTATTACAAACTTTTTATGCTAAATAATCGCCTGAAATAATTTTTCTTGGAAAAAATCCCAGTATTACTTTATGAGTAGTTACGGTATATTCGAAATACACGCCTTTTGGAGAGAGAAAAAAAAGCGAAAACATGTCGATTTTGCTCACAAAGACGTACATTACTTTAAAAAAAATCCTTTGTATTTACTTCCCTTTGGCAGCATTATTAAATCCAACAGTATATTTGGTTGCAGTTTACTACACACAATAATGAATAGAAAAATGCACTGAGAAGATTTGTCATGTCTGGATCACAAGCATTTTGCAATACAATTGCACATATATCTGGAACTGTGAAATGTAAATGAAACTGTAAAATAACCTCTTAAAGCCTCCACTTTTAGATGGTGATTTCACTTATGTAACACATTTGTCTGCAGAAAAGAAACTACATATATCTTCACCCCTTACATCATATCAAAAAGTCAGCAAAATGAGAGACACTTTCCGAAGTTTTCTTGAAAGTTAAGTGAGCCAATTAACAACAGTGACGTATGTCAATTGGAAATAGTCCCTATCATTATCTTCACGATTCAAGTGATTTTGAAGTCTCTTGCGAGGCCTTTGAGAGCTGAAGATAAATTAGACATCTGCACAAAAGAGCAAAAAAGTGCAAACAATTCATGTAGTGAGAAAATTCATCTGTTCTGAAAGCTTAAAAAGAGATTGTTTAAAAGTGAAAATTTTTCTTCAATTAGTAGGAAGTGATTTATGATATTTTCAGTTGAAATATCAGACATAACATTCAATTTAGAACAGTCTGTAGTGTTATTGCATTTATAAAAAATAGGAGGCCAAGTATAATAGTAAAATTACTCTCTTTACCTTGTTTGTTAGATTTTTGACTTTCAACTTACTACTGAAGAGATGGAGAAAATTAGTTCTTTGGATAAAGGTCATGAAGGGCGACTATTCGGTGCAGGTATGCTTCATGGGTACGTATTTTCTTACAAATTTTTGTATTATTACAAGTGTCCACTCAGACATTTCATGGGTTACTGAATAATTTCAATAAGTGTATCTGTTAAGAAATGAGACATTTCAACTTGAATCTGGTTTTTGCTACTCACATTATGATGTCTTTGCTACAAAAATAGAGAATACTATAACATTTCGCTTTTACACCAAAAATGTTTGAACATTTTATAGTTACCTCTGATATTTCACTAATTTAATAGTACAAGTATGTAGGTGTGAATGCAAAAAGAATATGCCAAAATAAAATTACCATAGTATTCCATGATGCTTTATTTCCACTAACGAAAGTATTGTACCAGTCATTAAAATGTTTATGAAATATAAATGCAATTTATTTTTCAGAATACACACTCATCCAGAGTACCCTTATGATGGAACAGACTAAATATTTATGTCTTCAAGATCAATTAACAAGAAAGTGTTGCTCAGCTTCTACAAAATTACTGAACATTGTGAATTTATATAAGTTTAATTGTCTCCATAAAGTAGAGTATTGTATTTGTTGAAGGGCAATGAAGTAGTACCTGAATTGAAACCTAGAAACAAATTAAAATTTTTTATGATTATATGTTTGAAATATGAATTGTGAATCCATAAAATCTTTAAGATCATACCAGGAGACAAAAGTGAAGCAGCTAAATACTAGTGATAGCATTCATATGTGGCTAGTTGAATATTTACGATTCAAACAGAACACAGGTATCATAAATAGATGTAATGGCAAATCCCATCTCCTTACATATGAAAAGAACACACTAGTATATTTTTCAGAGAAAATGGAAAAGTAGATAATTATTCAGGAATTTACACCTATAGCACATTAAATAAATACCTAGCTAAAATTCATGAGATGTGGTACTTATACAATAGTTCTGGTAGCTGTCTGAAAATTTATACACTAATGTAATATGGCCAAAGATTTAGGAACAGTTTTCAGAAACTTGCCAGCTCTATGTCATTTAATAATTAGGGTCTCTCTACGTAAAGAGATTGTCAAAAACAAAAATAATAAAATGTGATAATTGCATTGTATTTTGCAAGAAAGTATGTTTGGACTAAGTTATAGTTAAAACAATTATCTAGATGTCTAACCTGGACATCTGTGGAACCAAATGTGGTTCTTCAATACTACCATTGATATTAGCAAGACAATTGAAGTTAAAAATACCTAGGTTCAATTCACTTTTATGTTTAAGGAGGAATATGGGTGGATTTACACAATGTAATATTATAATTTTTTAAGAAGCAGGGATTTGATGTAGAACAATGAAATTGTGTAATTTGAAGGAGTTTATATCTCAAAACATGTTTATTATTAAATAAAACCTTTTGTTGAAATTGTTTATAATATGATTTTTTGAATATTTTAATGTTTAATTTAACTACGGCACACTTTTCCGGAAAACTGATCATATTTTATATTTGAAACTTTGCATAACTGTTCCTGAAATAGAAATAAATGAAAGAGTGTAAAGAAATTGTGACATTAGTTATATTTTGTGAAATATTAATTAATGAATATTCATTATTAATGCAAAAAATTTGAGTTTAAAAAATCACCATGATGAAGCTAAGCAATATTTGAAGGAAAAAAACAAACAAAAAACATCACACAAATACTTCCTGTACTGTGACTTTGTACAAAATTTGAAAATAAAATGCTGAATAGTTTTTGAGAAAATGGTACAGTTATCATATAAAACGAAAGATACAGGAAATTGCTTGCAAAGATTGAAATGTCATTTCTTGAATGTTACCTTCATCACAACTTTGATTTTATTCTATTACCTTTGTTCCCTAAACAGAGTTTCTGTGTTTCGGACTCTTTAACAATAACAATATTTACTAATATCTTCATGATGGAGTTACAAGTCTATTATTCTGAAATTACTGCCAAAATTCTCTTCTCCATTCTCGTTTCAAAGACCTCTATCAAATTTACATCTTGACACTATGCTGGGATATTATTTAAATTTTATAGGTCTTCCCACAACCTGCTTGTTGCCAAACTTGGAGAGAATGTACTAAAAACTACAGGGAATAATATAGGAATAAAAATCCAAAATCAATTTTTTAACCATATTCCCCCTATATTCCCCCATAGTGAAGGAGCTGAAAATGCACACTGATATTTCAGTATGAACTCAATATGTGCAGTTTGTATTTCAAAATCATATTAGATGTTGTACTGGGCATTTTACAGTAAATGACCATTCTTGAAACAATAGTGTAACCTATGCGTTCATAGGCTTCTGCGGCCGGAGTCGATACATTCTTGGCTATCAATTGACTGAGCCCAATTGAGCAAGACATGGTTCATCTCGGATAGCCAAGAATGTAATGGTGTAACCTAAGTGACTGCAATCTACAACAAATCTATTACCAGAGGTAGTATCAAAAATTTCTGTACTCCTGGACAGTATACCTGTTGCATTCAATCCTTCCTACATACTCCTTGAATGGACTTAATTCCCTTCATTCTTATCCCATCAACCAGTGAGGGTTCACCTTATCCCCACCAACCCTTCTACTACTGGGCATACGTACAAATTTTCAGAAAGAACAATATATATAATCATATATTTTATATAGAGTCTGTGTAAAACAACGAGATAGAATAATACTGTCGCGTATTATTCTGTGACAATGTAAATGAAAGTAATGTGGTCAAGCTACTGACAATGTATAGCTCCAGAATTAAACAGCATTTAAGAAAAATCTTTATTAGGGACATTATTTTAATGTTTGAGTTTTTATATAAACTCTTCATCACATTGAGTAATTGATTTGGAATTTTCTCCTCTTTCAGTATTTCCCAGAGTTTCCGTCTGTTTACTCTGTCATATGCCTTTTCATAATTTGTGAATATTATGAAAGGAGTTTCTGTCTCGTCTTTTGTCTATTATCATCTGTGATGTGAAGATGGCATCTTTAGTGCTCTTTCCCTTTTGGAATCCATACTGTTCTTCTCCCACGAAATTCTCAGCTCTTACATTATGTTTCTCAACATGTTCACATAGTTTTGATGCTATTGATAATAGTGCGATGCGTCTATATTTGTCACAGCTCTTCCTTGATCCCTTTTTGGGAATATTCATGACCAAACCCATTTGCCATGGTTTGTTAAAAAGTTGTAGTAATATTTCTTTTGGTTCATTTCCTCCATATTTTATAAGTTCTCGGTTGATTTCATCTGATCTGGGGCTTTTCCTATTTTTTGATTTCCATAATACTTTCTCTAGCTCTCCAACATTCAAGGCAGTGTCCACATCATTGTCACTATTGTCATCTATTTCTTCTCTTTGTTCTAGGATCTAGATTGTTCCGTAGGGTGGAGTAGTGTTTTATCCAATTCTCTTCCGGGATGCAGTCTGTGAAGCATTTTCAAAATTTTGAATCCCGTTCGTTAGGGGTCAGAGATATGTCTTTTTATACTTTTGATAAATTTTCTCCAGACTTTTCGTCATTTTGTTTGGCTTATATGTCTTACTTTAGCTCTTAGTTATTTATATTCATATAATATTTCAATGTTCTCTCCTGAAGGTAAAATCTATATGGTTGATTATTATGATTTACAATCTCTTTCAAGTCATTGTCCAATGTTCTCAACCATTTTATTTTCTTGACTGGTTTATAACCATAAGTCTCTTGTCCTGCTTCAAACACTACTTAAGTGAGGTCCAAAATATAAGACGAAAATTTATGTATATAGTCTTAGCTTGGAATTTTTTAATTCAACAATACGGGCACATTTATTAAAAATGATAAAATATTGAATTATTTTTAGATGGAAAATAACGTTACAACAATTTTTTTCGTTTTTATATTACACTGAATCTGAAAATATATTTATTTGCATTATTTCCAACCCTTCGATATTTTATTGAGTGTTTTCACAAAGAATGTCCCGTATACAACCAGTTTAACCGTTTAAATGATTTTTGTCTATTTGCCCAGGCTAATTTTTGGAATGGTTATACATATATTGCTGGGTTTTTACTGAAAGGTAGGCTATTTTGTTAGGCATAACTGTTTTTTTCTTTAATTTATTATTTCCTATTATAAAAAAATGTTTGTTCTTTACTTGCACTTTTAATCTCATCTTATTGAAATTTTGTTCACATGACCTTAAAAATGAGAGAAGATACTGTGAACATGAGATTTCAATATGTAATAAACAACTCCATTTCCATTCCCTAACCCCTTAATCAAAATTTAAGTATGTAGTCTTTCAGTTTTTGCAACTATTTTGAAAATGGTGAGGAAATCCATAACAATGAATGACACATCTGAAAGCTCATACAATTTTCTATTAAATTCATTTTGATTCATTTCAATAGTGAAATAATGTTTTATGTCATTTCATGTCAAAATTATTTCTGGATGTTTGCAGGAAGTACACAACAATGCATCTATTTAGAGCTGCCCATGGTAATGGTGGTAACAACAGTGATTGTAGTGAACAGTAGTAGGGTGGTCAATGGTGGGGGCCAGTAAGAAAGTGTGAGATGGGGCAGTGCAGGGTGAGGAAAGTGAAGGTGGAGATTGGCATGGGGATAGAGTAGGGTGGGTTTTGGCAGTGTGGAGCAAGTGGAGCTGGGAGGGGTCAGGTTAGAGTACATTCCTTTTCTTATCTAATAGTCAACTGTGATAAATAAATACAAGGCAACATGTACTTCTAAAAGGGACAATGAATAAAATAGGGACAATTAAAGTTATCTCATAGATAAACCAAAATGTTTACTTTTCACACATAAAAAAGTCAGCAAATTTCAAATTGTTAGTTAACACTCAATAATTGCCAAGTTACTCCAAATGTCAATTATGGAATCCTAAACGATTTACTGGATAAACTGTAAAAGAAAATGTGAACACATTCATCCAAAAAATTATTGACACTAGAAATAAAATGTAAAATTCTATGACGACCTTCAGCTGTTGGTTTCTTTTATGATGACCATAACGCAGGATTTACAGATCGCTAGGTGTAAGTACTCCTTCTGCAACTTCACCTGCCATTCTGTGTGCGCTTCCTCTCATGAAAGCATTGATTGTGTCCTTCTTTATCCCTCTCCTCCTCCCACGGAGCTTGTGAGCATATTCACTTGTCCCGTCTTTCTGGATGTTATTGGTTCCTGACTAGTTTCCAGCAGTGTTGACTTTTTTCTCAATGCTACTACCTTAGTTTTCAATGAATTATTATTCATACAGTTTTACATATACAAATTAAATTTTTGTAAAAAGTGAGAATAGTGAGTTTTGGGAGAAATTAACAGTAACATGAAAATAGTCAAAAAGTGAGTAGCCGAGAGGCTTGTTAAACACAATTCAATTGAATAAAGACAACGAGGTACTTGAGCATGATGGCCACGCTTGATCATTTAAACATTTACCACTGAAATTCTCATCTTTGAAAAAGATTTTCATTTACATACACAACCTGAAATTATACAATAATTTTTTGAACTATTTAAATATACTGTTTTTACCCAACAATAAGATGACCATTTACTTTCAAAAATGGTTCCTGAGATTTTTTTTTGTTTTAACTTAATCTAGCTATTCAGACATCACAAAATGACCCATTAAATTGATGAGAAAGCTAAGTTTTCATGTTTGCTAATTATATTTTCTTTTTCCTTATTATAATGATCATTATTTTTGTTATCTTCACTTGCATCACTGTTCCTTTCCTTCTGGCTCTAGTACCATATTAGGTTGTCATCTAACTTTGTAGTCTTCTGAATGTTCTGGGCATGAATTGTCTTCATCTGATGCCAAAAACATTCCCTTCATTGATATTATCAATGTTTCTTCTGATTGCTCTACTATACGCTTCATGGCTTTTACTTCTTTAACAAACGCCAACTTGAAATTGGCATAGTTCATTGTTTGATCACTTTGTGAACCGCAAACTTGCAATATTCATACTTCAACAAAATCTCAGCCACAATTTTCATATATTTTCACATTGCATTTCCTGTGCTGCAATACTATTCAATTGATATTCACTTATTACCAGCTTGCTTGAAAACATTGGACTGAATCACCAGAACTTTGGAAAAATTGACTGAATCCATTGCAACTGCCAGAAACTGCAAAGAAATGACCGTTAACATAATTAGGTATTATAGATACGCATGGTTTATTATTGCCTTTTCAGGTCATTGCAGAGGCTGTGATAAGTGTCTTGCTAGGGAAAGGTAATGTAAAAATATTTATCCCAACTAGGCACAGTATGTTGAAAGTAACAATTTTCTGAACGAAACTTGTCTTATACTTGGGTAAAAAATGGTAATTCTATAATACTAATAAATTCATTATTCAACAGAACTCATACTTTTATTTTTACACTATTGAAAATTACTTGCATTTTCTACTTCTCTCTGTCACCAATACTGCTAAATCCTTTTGTTTGAATGGTTCAACTCATTATGATTTAAAAAAATGCACTTCCTCTCCGTGGGACTGCAATATCTTGGCCCCAGATGACATCGGAACTGGATAAAAATTAAATGTGTGGTACTACGTAAATGTGGAGTACTACTGTACATTTTTGCAACACAACTGGTGACACTTTCTGCAGAACCTATCCATCATTTTGCAGCACAATGCGTGGCCAAATGAAATGCAAGCGACTAATTTATTCATCGACATTACTGGGAAGTGCTGTACCAATGACTGAACACCCTCGACTTTGGTGGCTTTGACTAAGACGAAAGAACCACTTCATGGCATGCGCTTCCGAACAGTTCCAGAGATTTTTCAGGGAGAAGACCACTCTGTTTGAACTATCAACAGGTGCCGCCAAAGGTATCCTATGAGTTCCACATTGTTGGGAATAATTTGTACACAATACTGATGACTACTTTGAAGGATAACAATTTGTTAACATGGATCTGTTTTATCAGATGTAAATAAACAGTTGCCACTATTAAAGTTCCAAACCTCGTATTTCAGAAAATTCTCTTATTAAATTCATAGAACCTGAGGCAATGCGAAGGCATAAAAGACTCCTCCAGTACCTGCATTCCACAACAAAGAGGATGTGATGTTTGGAATTTAGAAGACACTATCTTTTATGAGGGAATTATCTATGTGTAGATTGGTGTCCATTGCACCCCCAGACCCACACACACTCATACCCTCCCCCATAAGGAAACTAATAGCTGATTAAAAGAAATGCTGGACAAAATTTTAACAAAATTATTTTATTGTTTCAACATAAATTAATTAGATATCTCTGAGTATTTTTATAAAACAGTATTCAATTTGAAGATAGAGAAAATAATATCACACACATTTATAAACTGCGCACATTTGATATGCACAATTACGCACGCATCATAAATATGCATAAAGAATAAATAACAAGCCCATCCCATTAGGTCACTGAGTTACCACAGAGGAGTGTGACGAAATTTCAAATCAGTTTTCACAGGTGACTGATTATGCTCTTGCCCTACAGAGGTAAGAGAAACAGGCGAGAGAGATTTAACAGACTTTGGTTCAACAATCACAGTAGCTGCACATGAAGATTCCCTTGTAATACTTCTGGCACCAATCGATGCATTATCACCTGAACTCAAAGGAGCACTTTTAGCTGCAACTATACTTCTGGAACATACAAAAGCAAAAGACAATATGAATTAACCATTGCCCATTCTCACATCTCTTATCAGATCATTATTTCTAGTATTGTTTTTCTCTCATTGCCTTTGATAAATTTATTTGTGGATTAAATTCACAGTTGTTGACCCTCTAACAGCAAGGCTCTATTTGAAAACACAAATGGCAAGGTGGATTGGATGCAACCTGAATAGGTTTTTATTCATTTTCATATTGTAAATGTGAAAGAAAAACAATTATTTTGCAAAAATGTGTGTTTATTTATACATAAATGAATAAACAAAAATATTGTATACATTTTCTATAACTACCTTTTAAGGTGCAACTTTTTACTACAAAAGCTATACCAAAATAAGAATGTTAAAAAAAAATCCCTGAACTATTTTGAAACAATTCAGTGTGGAATATTTTTGTGACCAAGAAACATTAAGATTCACCAATTTTCTGACCCCAAAACCCTCCTCCTCCCTCCTTTTATGAAAAATGCATTTTTATTTTTTCTCCCTTTAAACTCTACACTTTGTACCTCCTTTGTTGGGTGAAGATGACTTTCTTTATAGGATCAACCCAGACTTTTGAGAGGAGTCAGCTACCATAACTTCACAAATATATATTTCAATCAAACATCTGGCACCATCTTCTGAACCATAGACATAATGCGAAGAGGTTTGCTATTGCTATCACCTGCGATCCCAATTTCTCACAAACTAAATCTTTAACACCTGAACTATTTATTCTGAATTGGAGAGATACATTTTCTAAACTTTTTCTCCCTTCAGGGGGCCAGCTTTTATGTAGCTGTAGTCTTTGCCCTGCCTGACATTCCATGGATACATTTTGTAATACATCTTGTATGTTGAAATGGAGAAAGAACAAAGAACCTAAAAAAATGAAACTATTGGAACTTTAAGAGTAAGGTGGATAGTTTCTGACCATATCAACTCGTGTTTTAACAAAAACTGTTACTATTAGATTATGACACTTATTTGTGTGCTATGACTGCAAAGACCAGATATATATTATTAAATGAAAGATAAGATTGAGAGGTCCTGTAATCTCGAGAGACAAGGAAGGCAGAATATCACAAAGTTAGTTCTCTCAAGTTGCATCCAACCTAAACCTTACAGTTTGAGGGTTAAATAGAAGAACCTTTCAATTTCCTCATGATATAATACAACTTTTAAAATAAGTCTCATTGGAAATAAAACTCAAAACCAGTGAACTAAAGGTATAAATGATGCAAACAAGATATCAAGGGATTACATATTCTCCCATCTTCATATGTAACAAATGAATATAGACACTTTCTTGAGAATATTAAATATATTCCACATTTCATCTCAAATCACATTACAAAAACGTGCCACCTTAATGTGGTGAGTGGTTTCATTATGTATTTGTGGCATGGTGGCCGTTTCACTGCTTCATGGATCTCAACTCCATCTACTATTCAATCATAACCTCTTCTCCTTGTAGTCTTAAAGACGTGGTGGCATGGGCCTATGGGCATTCTCAGTATATAATGAAATTCAGAATGACTAAGATGGGCCTTCAGGTTACTCAGTAAAGTCCTAAAGGGAGAGCGGGTGCTACGTGTTGAATGAAGTTTAACATAGGTGGTCTTGCAGTGTTTGCCCTACAGTTGTCAACAGACACTCAGCTGCTGGGCAAACGGGAGTCATGAAGTCCAAGTGACATTAATAAGTATAATTAAGAAATGATGTAATGTACATAAGGAGATTAATCAAGAGAGTATCCCAGAAAGAGTAAGAAAGTAATATCCTTTTCTACTAACAAAAGAATCACAAAAAGTGTGATTACAATGAAAAAACAAAAATAATTTTGCAATAGTTCCTAAAATAAAACTATTTGCACTTTCTTCAAATTCAAACATGTCACATACAATAATCTCAGGGGACATTATTCAATATCTCATAAAATTTGGAATATTTATAGCCTGATATTGTGCATAATATTTTCATGCTTGTCACAAAACTTCAATTTTTTTCTCTGCTTGGTTTCCTTAAAAATTTTGCTCTTTTTGTTCACTATGCTTTTTAACATTTTCAAACTGCTATTATTTGTATAGCTCTAACAACCAAATAGAGAATTCCAGTATTTTTAATTCCATTTTACATATTTCACTTATGTAATCTAATTATGCAACTTCTTAACTACCAAAACTTCAGCCATCACTTGAAAAACTCCCAACCAGAGGTTTCAAATAAATACATAATGTTTAAATGTCTTTATAGTAATGCATTGTATATAAGATTTTATCCTCAATTTTTTGGAAAATTAGAAATTTAAATAAGAAACTTTGAGAAAATCTTACAGATGAATTTTTATTTTCTTGCTATGGAGTAGAGAGAAAGTTGTGTAATGCTACACAGACAAAACATGAATTTTCAGTAGAAAAACTCTTATTACAGGGCCCTGGTAATGGAAAAAAGTGGATAAATTAAGAGAAAAATCCACCAACACATGGTGTAGCCAGAAATCCAAGTTTTGAGAATCCTTGATACCAAAAATTCAAATGACAGTAAAACATCTGTCCATCCATCAGTGAACAACGCTAGCAGCTAAACTGTTCAGCTGATTTCCTCCAAAATTGATATTCCTCAATCCATCTGACTGATGTCACAATCCCTTGAATTTGAAACCGTTTTTTTAATTTTGGGGGGTACTTTACATGAAGCCCTTGGGACATTTTCCAAATTTTCAAATTTGACTCCATTTTTGATTAAATTTTGTTAGATGTTGAGAAGATGATGTTCAAGATAATGTTGCAGGTCTCATGTTCATTAAAAACCCTAATTTTTCAAAAATTGCAAAACTTTAAAATTTTTTCAGTCTTTGTGCAACTAATATATTAAAGAAATTATTAAGAAAAGACTCTTAATGAAATGTGTTTCTTAAAGATAGATTTTGAAATAAGGTCATGTACAAGTTTTCGAAAATTTGAGTACTTTTCACATAATTTTGCGTGAAAACATGGGCGAGAAAGTATGTGCTGTTTTACCACTATTAGTTTTAAATAGTCATGATTTTACTCAAAATTACGACAAACTACTCCCACTTTCAAATAACTGCACCTGACATTATTTAAAGATCTAATTTTAAAGAACAGATTTCATTCCAAAAACAAACTATTTTGAATAATGTAGTTATACGAAGGGCTCCAAAATACTATGAACTTTTTTGAATTTTTGCTATTTCCAAAATTTTGAGGTTTAACTGAAAATCAGACTAGCATCATTTTTAAGAGTATACTTTGCTCTATTTAAAAAACTTTGAAGTCATTTTTTGAAAAAAATTAAAAAATGTCGTATAAGAGCGTTATTGTAAGTACTCCCCTAAAAGTTAATACTGGATCCATTTCAAATCCGAAGGGCTGTTAGATCAGCCAGATTCATGTTCCACAAGTATTTTGACTATTTTATATAAATACAAAGAACATGATATATTATGAATATGAGAAAGAAAAAATACTTTTCTGTATCAAGGACAAACAAAATTAGTGTTTCCTGTCAAAATATCGACACTTTTTCCTGCAACGTTTCTGAACTTTCTCTACCTGAAGAATAAGAGAAATAAAAAAAGAAGCAGACTTCACAACTGGTACCTGAAAATACCAACAAAAGAACTGCCTTATTATATTCAGGTTACTGCTTGAACAGTTCGAGTGTTGAATTTACCCCCAAAGTACATGCCGCATAGCACAATTCCGAGCGGAATTTTCGCATTTATTTTTTGTTTTGTTTAAGTGTTTTTTCTTGTGCCCTGTGCATAAGAGGTGCGACAGTTTCGTACAATTAGCTTACAAGCTGGTAGGTACAACACTACTATGTTCATTGTAGTTGCTGTATGATTATGCAAAAAAAGAGCATTGGCTTATGTATTAAAAAATGAGAAACTAATTAAGAATTTAATAAATTATCGAAATTCTTACCCATTAGTATGATCTGGAAGCGAATGACGTAATAACTGAAAAGAAAAAATTATTATTACTACACTGCAAAATTCATAAGTCATTATTATCAAAACAAAATAAATTAGTCTTGTATCAAGTGGTGAGATGTCTGTGTTTATCATAGGATTTATTTTTTGCTGTTGAGCAATTTTGAATGCTTACATCATTGGTGAACCACCATATTTGTCCCATATGGTGAACCACCATATTTGTCCCATATGTCCCAATTTGAAGCTACTCAAACATACTTACAGCACTCATACCGGAAATCAATCACAGACATGTCATGTTTAAATTGTAGTGTGATCTTTCATCACCTACATCAATAAATATTTTTTGTAGCAGGATTAATAAATATATAAAAGAACATAGTAAAGATTAGACTAAAATTATTTCAACAGAGAATGGAAGAATGGAAAGAAGAAATAAATCTACAATGAAAAATGTAATGTATATTTTGTATCAAGAAAATCCCAAACATGTTTCAAGTATTATTTCAACATCTTCAGTGAGTATGCATCTTAAAAACGAATACTAACAGAATTATTAAAAAATAAATAAATAATAATAATAATAACAAAAAAGATGATCCCATAGTTGAGATCACTAAGGTAGTAGTGCTGTAGCGATCTCAGATGGAAGGATCATGAGTTCGAGACTTGCCTTGGGCATGGGTGTGTTTGTACTTGTCTGAATGTGTGAGTCGACCATTTATCCTTCATTATCATCATTCCATCTTTCACCCTCCCAGGACTAGCAACCCTGAGGGATAAAAATTGGATTCAGCATAATGTTAATCCCCCCAAAAAGAAGTACATACATTTGCTATGGGATAAAGGTTACTGAGCGCCAATAAGTGCGGGTGTATGTCTGCATGGTCCCAGATGGCCAATTTGCACCCCCCCGCCCCCCAAATAATAATAATTAAATGAAAAAAAAAATTAATAAATCAAAGATAATAAATAATTAGCCACCCAACACAAAAAATGTTAAAGCTTTACTTATTTTTCTTCATTTCTGAGCTGAATTCACAAAACAAATTACCAAAATAGTGGTGCTACAACACCACATACTTTGCCCTTATTTGTAATGGCTACGCAATATTATCATACTGCATTACCCTGCAAAAGTGTTTCCAATTACCAAAAATGTTTTCTCCATACTGTGATTAACATCCAGAATCTTAAAAGGTATCACATAACTCCTACACCATCATCCTCAAAGCTAAACTCAACTTTCCCACTGCTTAAAAAAAGTAGGTGCCACAACAGCACATACTTTCTTACATTATTTGTAAGTGATCTGCAATATTATACTACTACATAAAGCTGCAAAAGGGTTTTCAACTAACAAAAATTTTTTTTCGCACCGAGACTCAAAGTTAGGTCCTCCGAGTTAGCTTGTGGTGGGCCTTACCCTCTACACCAAGCAGACACTCTGACATACAGAATCAATCGACACTTGAAAACTAATTGTCTCAATCCAATATTTCCAACATACACTTTTCAAAAAATTGTACATGACCTTCTTTCATGATCTATTTATAAAGGACATATTGTATTGAGCAAGAAACCTCTACCTTCAATATTGTAGTTGTTGGAAGAGACCAAAAACAAGTAAAACTTTCGCAATTTTAAAATATCAGCGATATCAATGACAAGACCTACACCATTGTCTATATACTACCTATGGAGTCCTATATGCTACCCGAGGGCAAAGTTTAATAAAAAAATTTGAAGCCATTTTTGAGAAAATTTTGAAAATGTTGATGCTTCATGTAAAGTCCCATCAAAAATAAAAAGGTTTGATTGAAATTAGCAATGCCTCCAGATTGTTCAAATTGATCGAAGAAATCAATTTTTGAGAATCGGCTGAACGGTTTAAGCACTGCCATTGACCACGGGCGGGCCAAAGTTTTTTCCTTTAAAACAATTTTTCGGTATCAAGGACTGTATCATATATTTACATATTTTTTATACTTGTTACTGTATCTAGTACTAATTATATTAAACTGCTCTTTGTTTTATAAGCTTTATGTAAACAAATTTGGTACATTCCATATGAATAAAAAAAAAAATCTAAACAAATAAATATATAATTTTAGAAATGATTTCAACATTTTGAAATGCATAGAAAGTTCCAGCAGCATCAAAAATAAACTTATTTTATCCACAAATAAATGATTTGCACATAAAGGTGTAAAAAGTAGGATTTTTTCTTAATTGCATCTAAGTTGCATTCCTACTTAAGATGAAGAAATAAATCCCAAAACATGTTTGGTGTGCTGTAAATATAAAAGATACATTGTATTTTTACATGTGGATGACTATTTCTTCTTTCCTTAAACCATGTCACTGCTTGGCATAGTTTCAACTGAAACCAAATTGACATCTCATTTTACATTATTTCCCTGAAACATCTATTTCTTTAGAATAGTTTCCAAGAAGCCAGCAATAATATGAGCATTAGCACACTAGTTTCCAAAATGTGTTTCAAGTTCAAACTCAGCTGCAAGGGGTGGATTTTCAAATGATGGAAAATCCTAAAGTGTGCCATACTATGCTCGAGGCATGTAAAAGAACATTGCTTAAATGCTTGGCAAAATTGAATTCTTTGACAAAAAAAAACCCAACATCAGTAGCAGCACTGGGCGTCCGTTATCATGACATGTAAAAAATTCAAACAATACCATTGACAAGACTGGGGGTTGAGTCTTAATATTAAACCATAACAAAATCATCATAACTTTTACCATAATTGCTATTTTACTCAAGTGCTCTCTAATCTCTCTACAAATGTTACTTACAATGCCAACGGATGATGAGGGTTTTCTTGCACCAAATCTTTGCAATGATGGACTACTTTGTGAAAATCTGTGGAAGAAAGTAAAGGTGATTCAATGACATGAATCTATTTTCAAGCATTTACACATCATTATGTTAATGCTTAATCAAATTTCTAATGTTCTGACATTTCTTTCTTCCTTCATTTGAATTCATAAGTGATTTATCACATGGTAATGGTATTTTCATTACCTCGCACAATATTGAATTCTTTAGTTTGGTAAATGACTATCTTTCACTGAGTAAATTAAAGTGAAAAGGAATCAATGATGGCTGTTTAAAAAATATTTTCATTCAATCATTCGCCTTTACTTCAGAATAGTAGGTATGTTTCTTAAAAAACATGAGTTATAACTAATATCTCTGGAAGTATCTGCAAAAGACAGTAAAGGTTTCTTTTTCTGACCCCGATGGCACCATCAACATAACACTACACTCAGAATTAACCTCCAAATCACAATCATTACTAAGACTCAGAGTATCAGAAAGAGAAGACCACTCATGCCAGAAACATAGTACAATATCACTGTGACAACAATTTATTATAAACAACTTTATGATAATGTGTGTAAGAAATACACAAGTATTTTTTTCCACTTAGAAAATAAAGACAAAAGAATTAACATACTAGAAAACTTGGAGAATTAAATTTTTTTCAAAAAAACAGAATAAATAGGTCTTGATCAGCAAACCCACACATAATTCAGTCCTGTTTTAAAACTCTTAATATACTAGCTTCCCCAACTCTCCTTAGAAAGTAAAGCTTAGAACATATGATGGCACAGATGTTCTATGACAGTATAGTATCAAAATTGCCACAAAAAATAATACAATTAATTATAGGTACAAGGAGTACAACTAAATAATAATAAAAACAACTTAAAATGAATTTAGAATAACTCATTGAAAAAAAAAATTAAAATATAAAATTATTTTTGAGATAACAATTACTTGCCAGCTCCAAATTATAATTTATTTTAATTATCGTTCAGAGTTGCATACAGGCCTACTTGTTAAACGAAAAGAAAAATATTTTCCAACAGCCAGTAAACTAGACTGTTTTTTGGACTTATATTCTTTTAACTTAACCTTACTGTCTCTACAACATAGTTTTTATTTGGAAACTATGAGCAATGACTCCAGTTTGAGAAAAAAAAATATTTTTATTTGAAGACTGTTAGCATAACAATAATATTTATACGAAGGATATAATATGCAATGTCAACCTTAAAATCTGTAAAAAGGATTCATAATTCTTTCATTTGTCATTCACTTGAAACCTTTGTATTGGTTCTTCCATCTTGGTACTCATAGAATAATAATCGTAAGTTACCTATCTCACCTGTTTATGTCATCAGCTGAGCCATACCATGTTTTTCCATATGATCCACTGACCAATTGACTCTTCCACTGGGATTGTACAGAGGTAGAGGTAACTGCAGGCAGTACAGGAACATCTAAAACAAATCATAAATATTCTTTTAGCGCTCAAAACTTATAAACACCACATAATTCTGAATGTTGAGCTTACAAATATTATATTCAGTTTGAAAAGAACTAGATCAAGAGAGAATACAGATAAAGTTTCACACACCAGAACAATCAGAGTGAAGTTGTGCTTTGTTAATTCAAATAAGAATCCTAAATTATTTCTTCAATCATACATGATAATATGACGAAATTTTGCGCAAAGAGAAAAATTATTTTACCAAAACAAATTTAATTCCAGAGATCCATTTAAATACCCATTTTAATAGAGGTATAAGGTACAATTTATATAAAAGCATATATTTCAATATTATCAATCTTGTAGCATTAAGGAGGAAACAATCCTAAAGTAAAGGATGATTATACCACATAAAGGGGGCCAATTATGTTAGTTAATTATAAGACTATGTCAAAAATTATTCTTTTACGACTAGCACTTTCAACGTAAAAGTTTGGTTTGTTTCAGGGAATGACAAACCTCCCTCTTCTTTGGAATTTATATGTCCCGAAGGTAATTTTTTCAGTGCAAAGTCTGAATGGTTATAAGAACGTCTTCTCAATTGACACATATAGGTTTCATAGCATTAGAAACTTCAATTTTCATTCACATTACAAAACACAAATTGCAGTAGAGATTTGTGGGAAAATGTTTTTTTCCAACAACTTAACTTAAAAAAAACAACAACAGATACTTGCCCTTTAGCTATCTTTTCATCACAATACAACCAAATACCCATACAACTAGACTCTCCTCCAAACACTAAATGAATTAACTAGTGTCTTGTGTTATTCCTGTAATACCACCTTTACAGTTAAACAATTCTAACAATATTTCATTAATAAAATGAATTTATTAAAGAAATTACTGAAATTTTAAATAGTTTTGTCAATGGACTCGATCTTCAAAGGTCACAGAATTCATATTGTAGTGGATATAACAAGCATTACATTAAGAGTAAATGAATTGTTGAAAAATTCAGTATGTTGTATGTATTTGGTGAAATATGATATAATTAAATTAGAACACATACACTTCAAACTTTTTTGCTGAATTTTGATGTTTTCTTTCTATTAAGTTATTTTAATTCTTAGTAGACTAACAATCATAAGTTTTTAAAAGCATATGAATTTAAACTATTCTTGTCTTAGTTTTTTTGGTTATTTCAATATTTCTGAAGACTTAACAACATTTTACTTTTTACTTGTACTTTTTCAAGCTTTGAGACATGAAATTTAGAATAACCACATTTCAAATGTAATAATTCTTTAATTTAATTTACTGTCAATTCTGATACAACTAAAGACACTAACACAAGTGATTTATGACTTGACATATACCACACAATACATGATTGTACCATACACATGGAACAAGTCATTTATGAATTGTGTTATTATCTTGTATTAAAAGTCAAACAGGTTATACACAATTTGAAAAGAATAGAGGTAAAATTAAATAACCCAGGATCAAATTAACAGTTTGTAACTTGTTACTATTGAACTTGCCAGTCCCTTGAATGTTCAACTATCAGAAATTTTAAAAGAATCAAGATGGATGCTCATACCTTGAGCAACATAACTGGACAAATTACATAATTTTCTCTCTAAACAGCAAAATACATTATATACATGCTCTGATATGTAGGGTAACAACCATACTAATTTGATTCAACTATCAAATGTATCAAGAGAGACAATTTAATAAGGTCAACACGAAGTGATCAACACCATTTCATCATTTAGCAACGAGATTGAACTATATGACATCATGAATACATCCACTGTATTTCAAGCTTATTAAAGAATATCAATCTTCAATCTAAATAAACATTTAATAAATATTCAAGAGCTTTCAACTATATAAAAAATACCATGTTTGAATTGGTAATTTCTGATAATTCCTTGTATCTTGATTGTGACAAGGGAATTAATATTTAACTTTCCACTCACAAACGGAGTTTAATAAGATTATTCCATGAATGAAATTATTTTCAAAACAGGTTCAGAAAATGCCAAACATTCATTTTATTAATCAAATTTGTGCTTTTATTACACATGACCACTTACGACTGAAGAACCTCTGCTTAAGATTGGCCTTTAGACACAAGAAAAATAGATACAAAAAGTGAAAAGTTTTCTTAAGATACTCCACTCTAATTAGAGCATATCAGCTGAATTTAAAAAATTAAACACTATTGGTGTTAATTTGATCAGTGGAACAGTCAACATGAGCAAACAACTCTGTATGTTTCTTATCCTGAAAGAACCTCACATTAAGTACTGTATTAATGAGAAATGACAGATGTTTGGAAAAGAATAAAAGTAGTCCTATTTTTTATGATAGAATATTTATATTCTATTATAATTATATAAATATTAGTGTTCCACAGATTATAAATTTGCTTAGAGTATTTTTTTAAAAAAATCTTTGTAATTATCAGAAATCATTATCATTAACCTAATGTGATTCACTACGGTCAGCATTTTTAAACAATTCTTTCTCTTCATTGCACACATTGTATTTTGTTTTTATTTTGTCTAAAAGTCTATGCCAATAATGATGAAAAATCTAAATAAGGAACAAACCAGATTGGAGGTAATGTTTTGAATGGAGTCTAATGGTATGGTGTATAGAGAAGTTCCATGTTGGTGAATGGAAGTCTATTTATTTTATTTGCACACATGAAGGTTAATGAAACATTTGATTCCACAGAGTAAGTTTAGTTTTACGATTATAAATAAAATTAACAACAAACACAACACAAATATGGAAAAAATATAATCAAATTATAATTACAATTAATTATTAATTACAATAGAAAGATTTCATAGCAAGATAAAAATATTATAAGTACAAATAATGAATAATACTTTTATACTTTAATTTTCCTTTGATAATAGAAGTTATTCAGTCAACAGCTGCACTGTCTAAGGCTTTAAAAATATTCAATACAATTTCAAGTGTGTGTTAATGTTTATTTTGATTAAGTTACAAAATTAAAATATAAACAAAAACATAATTTCAGCATCTAAAAGAACACATTGTCTGATAATGTCATAAACTTAAGCAAGACATGTATTTCACAAAGCACATACTATTATGGAATTGCACCTGAATTATGCACAATGAACACAATCTTTTAAATTGTTTGTTAATGGCTATCCTGACGAGTATAGATCAGGGTTACATGTAAGTGCTTAAAACTAATGGAAAATTATGTAAGAAATAATGTACAGTATCTTTCTACTAATCTCTTCCAAAATTAATAGATTCACAAAAAATTGTTTTGGAATTACCCTTACAATTTAAAAATAGAACTTAACTTAAACTTATAGTCTGCACAAAGGCAATTCGGTTTGTTAAACATTTATAACAGATATGGAAATATTACCAATGATTAAAAAATACACATGAACTTTTGCTTTCAATACCCCAAGACATTCTTCAAAATCGTGACAAAAGTGCTTTGGTTTGTTAAAACGATAGAACGCAAAGCTATTATTTCAAATATAACTGAATGAAGCAAGCCAACTAAAAGCTACCTAAATGATAATTCCCAATGGCTAAGTAATAAGTAGCTTGTACATATAGATTTTCTACATGATAGAACAAGGCTAATGCACACAGTGAAAAGGCAAAAATCTGAAAAACTTAAAAGACAGTGTCACAGACGACATGAAAAAATAAGAATATGGTGAATAAAGAATATGACAATTTGAAAATCATTGTTCCTTACATTGGAAGGTACTAAGATAGTGATAATCATAGTTTAAGGTTTACAGTAGCAAACCATTTCTTTGAATGTTTCAAAGGAAAGTCATGACGTTACATAAAAGAAAGTTGCTGAATTTTTCTAACGAACATATTAAAAATATACTTGTGTAAATTTATTTTTATAAATTATCAAAGCTTTGGACTTTAAAATAATAAAATTCTTTGGGCATGCTTGCCCTATGTATTTTTAACTGCTTGATATTTGCATTGTGTATAACAAAAATATATTCAATAGCTCAATTTATAGATTTAAATATATTTTCTTTTCTTGTGTAAAAGAAATTAAAAGGCGACATTGTGATTTTTGAAAATCTCTCCCCCCCCCCCCAATTGCAATTAATGTGCCACCATGATGCTTAAAACTTAAATTCATTTTACATATTTTTTTATTTATATTTGTCTAGTGATTTATTTGAACTATATGTTGTTTCTGCCTGTTTTCTAAAGACACGTAATTTTTTTCTTTGAGTCTTTCTTATAATTTTTTGAAATTTTTATTTTTTTAAAGTTCTTTGTAACAAACTTTTTGTAATAAAAAATGTTATAAGAAAGAAGCAAACGGAAAATTTAATTGTCATTAGAAAATTGCCAGAAACAACATATAGAATGTATAAATATACTTATATTATCCAACAAAAATTAATGTGGAACTCTTTAACAATTCAGAAATGATAAATTGATGAAAGTGGAGCATAACAATTTTCCAATCCTGCACTTGCTGCCAGAATACACATTGTAATAGCAGGGAGATAAGTACACTTGAAAGTTCTGTACTTTATCATCTTGCACTGCAACTAGGATGCAGTGCAGAAGAACAACTTAGAAAATGGAACTTTCTCTAAGGTAGGAAGAATAGAAAAAAGGACAATGTAAGAGAAGAAGGATGGATGTTGATAATTCTAGAAACTGATATCGCTATATGCACACACCATTCTGTTTCAGATGTGTGAAAGAAACAAATACTTCATATTCTTTTCATGTCTGAATATTGTTAGGCACAATCCCCACCAGAACCAAACCTTGCACAGCCTATTCATGTTAGTCCTAGCATAAAGGTGAGTGAGAGCAGTACATTTCCGAAAGACAAATGATTGCAGTAATGAAATAAATTTAGAAAATAATTTCTCTTCAATAAAAAAATTTGTTCAAAGTTTTGGCAGAATTAAAAGAAAAAGTGCGTGGTAAATTCTTTGC